TTCGAAAGCGTTTTTAAATATTAAAAAACGATTTGCTGGATGTTTAAAGGTGTTGATTTTTATTTATTGTGTGGTTCCAGTAAGGAAAGTATTTTATTTAAAATGTTTCATTATACATAATGAAAACAATCTAATAATAAATTAGATTCATAATTTATACAGTAAATTATTTTATTACATTAACATCATTGAGACTATCATCCAATTTTTAATACTTTCTATCTACTTTCATTTATTTTCTTATAACTTACAAATCAACTAAAGTGAAATTTCTTTCTTTTTTTAAAGAATTATTTTATAGTACACATATATAATCATAAAATAAAATTTTTAAACTCAATTCTCAGTCCTTATTAAATTTTTTCTATAAGCAAATTAACAATTTATAAGAAACATTATTTAGCAAATTTTTAAAAAATATGAAATGCAATGTATGTGTATCCTAAAACCTCTGCATAAACTTCAATATTTTCAAATAATTGCACATGTGCATGACCAACATACATTCTTTTCTAGAATGTTCTTGATTACATTTATTGAAAAAATTTACCTAAATAATATTTTATTTTAAAATTGGAAGTATTAAATGAATTCAATTGAAGAAATGTAACAGGAGATTTTATACAGAAAATTTATGAATGTGAATGTGCTGTGCTGGTAACAATCACTATTTCACCAAACAACAACTAGATGGAATGTCATTTTTAAAGATCCACAAGTTTTCACCATTGCATCTAGTTTTGCTGGTAATCAGTCTAAAAGACTGTTTACAGGTCTTTATTGTTTCATTATGACTCTCCATCATAAAAGAAATGAATGGCAACAAAGGCATTTGGAAAGAGCTAATACCCTTCCTAAAGAAATATTACCTTGACCAAGGGTATGTCTTCTGTCCAGACATAACTACCATCCATTATGCTCATGATACAGTTGCCAAGTTGAACCATTACAGAATTTTGATACATTGACTGTGAAGAAAACATTCCAAATGTTCTGTAACTGAAACCAATTCACTGATTTTGGTACCAGCAGAAGCAAACAGTTTATGAAAATGGTTGGAAAGCTGGATCCATGAAAGAGTTGGTCAGGATCAAGACCAAACTTTACCACTTCAAAGCTGACCATTTCTGGACATTACTCTTAATATGTTTCGTTAAAGTTCAAATTACAGCTAACTGCAGTCTTGATTATATCATCTGTACTGTACATTAATTAAACAACCTATCTGTACCCAGAAAATATTATTTTAAAATACACAATGAATTTTAAAAAACTTTGAAATTTGTGCAGATTTTTGGATATATGCTCTTGTGTGATTATAATTTGTATGTAAATTTATTCTCAATACATGCAAAACAAATTATTTGTGCAAATTAAGAAAATAAAACAATTTTATTTTTAACCTATGTTTATTATATGTTATTTATTATGTTAAGACAGGTTAAAATTTGGAGATGCATTCTACAAATGCATTGGGAGTTGTAAAGTATTAGCCTTTTAGCAGAGAGGGAACAAAAGCAGCGCGACCTTGTCAATTGACCCACATGCGGTCAGGTAATGTACCACTTGTAAGGTGTTGACTTGTAAACAGAGGGAAAACAAACAAAGTGCCAACTTTGTCAATTGAACCCACATGTGATCAGATGATAGACCATTTGCCATATAGTAAACTACTGAATGTAAACAAGTGGCAGACATTAATGTAAGCTCCACTCTCGTCGGATAACAGCGGACCTAGGTTAAAGCTGTTCAGGCAAGAAAGGTTTGTGATTGGTCGAAAGTTTCCGTCCAAAAAACTCTTAAATTGCAGAGCGAATGGGAGAGGGAAGAGAGAAGGGCAAGAGACTGGTAACAGTCTCAGGCACTTGGGAAGTCCACTGAGCTTAGAGAGAGCATTCTTCTCTTGTAACTATCTCAGGGACAGGTAAGTGCGGAGACTGGACAGACTGTGCAGTTGAGCCAAATCCACAAGATGACTGAGGATAGGATTCTCCAAAGTTTAATAGTTCCCAAAAGCCAATCTAGTAAGTGAGGCACCACACTTTGTTTTCCTGTATATACTATGTTTTCAAACTTGTACACTCTACGTATAGAATCTGTAAATAAACTGTAAATATTGTATAACTTGAGTATGGAGGTGTGTTTTCCATCAAACCTGGATCACTATATCGAATCGTGATACACACGGAAACCAACTCAATGAGATGGAGTTTGGGATGACTCCAGTGAAGTTCACNTTTTTTTTTTTTTTTTTTTTTTTTGTTTACTTCATACAGATATGCAGATAAAATAAATTAAATAATATAAAAATTCTGTCTTAAACTTTAAATGTTATTGTAAAAATAATTATAAATTAAATGAAATAAAAAATAATAACTAACAAAATTTATATATATTGTACCAATAACAATTTTATAGAAAATTCAACTGAGATTAATGAATACAGAACATTAAAAATTAAAATATTGCATTGAGTGATATTCATATTTAAATTATTAGTCAGCTTTTTACTTTAATTTTAATTTTTGTAATAAAATTAATTACTACTTGTATTATAAGGAAAACATGTTTTAGTAAAATTATATAAAATAATATGCATAAATACTATCTACACTATTCTTAAATTGTAGAATAAAATTGATAACTATTTAAATCATTAATACGATTGTTCTCCTTCAGCATGTTTACAGAGATTACTGAAATGTTTACAGAGACTGTAAACATTTCAGTTTAAAAGATTTTTATGATTCTTTAAAATATAACTTTATTTTTGTTTATATAATATACAAAATAAAGAAATAGAAAAAAATATTTTTGATAGTTTTGTTCTCTGAGTAACCAACAACTAAAAAAGTTCAACCTACTTTTGTACACAATGCATGATAATTTTATTTAAAACTTGAAGAATTTAAATTTTTTTTTTATTTCATTAAATTTCAAACCAAAAACTGCTCTATTCAAAGAACTCACTAAATATCAACAAAGAAAAAGAAAGCACTTTTGAAATAATGCTCCATCATCTGGATTCTACACTTACAAAATCTGTTACTAAATGGAACATTTCAATAGAAAACCTTTCACTGAAATGTTTTTCTGGAACATTCACATGTCAGTTTTTTTAAAATAGTTTGAAAATGGAACAATGCATTTAAATTAAAATCTAAACACTACATACTTTTTCATATTAAGAAGTTAGAGTAGAATAGTTATCTATTAAATATGCTGCTATTAACTGTATATTTCTTACAATTTTAACTAATAAATTATAATGAAAGTTTTTTCTTCTGTAACTTCGTGAGATTATTGAGCAAACTTCTAACAATTGATTAAATAAATTTTTAGTCAGTCAATCTTTTAAACAAACATATCGTAAATTGTTAAAAGTTTACTGTGGAACACAAAATGGAAATTCTTCTGAAATCAGAGAGATGTCATAGAAAAAAGGAAGATTATATATATATAGAAAGAACTATCCATGAACCATATCTAGTTTTTAATTCTGCAATTTTGTTTGTATTATATTGACCAAACCAAACATGATTATTATAGGAAAATATAAAGGAGAAATCGCATAGATGAAAAAAATCATCACTAAATACTGATGAGACAATTAAATAATGAAAATAATATATACAAAGGATGCAATGCATTAATTACCATAATTCATTAATGAAGAATAATTGCAAAGCAGAATATCTTGCTATAATAGCATGTTTTACATAATTTATTACTTGTTAAAAAGCCATAAAATACAATATCTCTCCTCAGTGAATGATAGTAGATAACATGATTTTATATTACAAAAACAACCATTTTATATTAAACTAATGGCATTATATTTATGTATAGTAAGTGCCACTTAGTACAATAATTTTGGGACTACCCTATTCAATTGATGACAATTTGTACAGCTATCCAAAAACTTTTTAATATAATTAAAAATTTCAAAATGACAAATATTTGCCTAATCATTAAAGAATAAATTTTTTAAAAAAGGAAATATTTATTATCTGAAATTTTATCTTAAAGGTTACAGTAATAATTCAAAATCTAACATTCTTCAATAAAATAAAATCAAGATCTAATTATGTAAAATTCATTTTGAATTCTGAAAATTAAGGATACTTCATCTTTTCAAATTTTTCAATATTTTTTATTATTTTACATACTATTTTATGCTTACTCATATAAATATATTTGCAACATTAACTAATTGATTCACTTAGTACTGTTATAGGAGTCAGGATAAGTGAATTATTTAGTTAGTTTTATTTTATTCATTTCATTTATTAAAAATCTACTTCAAATGAAAGTAGAAAGCTTTCATTCTTTTCAAATATAAAAGAATATAATGAAAATGATGGCCAATTTATGTAAATACAATTTTTAAAGAATGTTATATATTTATAGTAAAAAAACAATAAATTACAGCAGAGCCTCGATTATCCGACTCAATTGGGGACTGGGGTTGGTTGGATAATTGAAAAGTATGAAAAAATCCATTATTAGTGTAGTATATTATTATATCCCATGTAATTAGTATATCACTATTAACCTACTTTGTGTTGAATTTTCATCAATGTTAAGCCTAACAAAAATTTTTTAAAATAATAATCATCGCTATTGTATCGTTAAAAATTATAAAATTAAGCCTCGTTTAAATACTGGCTCCCTTTCATGATCGATCCAGTGTTGCCAGCTGAAATATGTAAAAATAATATTAAAGTAGCCAAGACATAGCCAAATATTGTAGCGCCACATCACTAATGGACATTTGAAATTTGCCGACTAGGACGGTTGGTTAACCAAGGTGTCGGTTAATCGGGGGGGGGGTCAGATAATCGAGGCTCTACTGTATCAAATAATTAATTGGTTGTTATTTGACATACCTGTTCTTACTGAAATTTTTTGTGCAATAAATCTTCCACCTATAACTGCTAATGATGTACAACCTCCATGACCAAAAATGGCACCCAAAGCAACACCAACTGTATCCTAAAATATTACATTAGGTTAAAAAAGTTTAAATATAAATATATAATGTACTACAATCTATCTATTATTATTATTAAGCAAATTTTGAAATCTTTGCTACCATCTTTCTGCCATTTGAATAAAATGCTACTTTCATTATTAATTTCAAAACTTTTAGCTGAAATAATAAAATGAATGATTTAAACCTATGTGAAAAGCTGTGATTACCTCTTTGACACATCAAGTTTGACAAGTGAAAAGTCATTTGTCAAACTGACTGTAAATGTGTGAGTTACTGACACATTTATAGGAACCAGAGTTGCTGATTTCCAGGGACTGGTTTTCCCACCCCCAAACACCAAAAGTAATTTTGAATACCTTGTTTGAAAGACAATTGTTTTCTGAGTGTGTGCAAAATTTCAGATTTTTCTATAAAGGGGTTGCTGAAATATAAGCAATCAGAAAGTGGAAAAAAAAGTTGTATTTTCTTCTTCTGGCACTGCAGATGCTCCTAGAGAAAAAAAAACTACTGGGTCCAGAAAGCTCAAATTTTAAACTTAAGTCTCTCTTATTATCAGCGAGGTGCTACCAAAAACCTTTGGGTCAGTAGGTCAACATTCACAACGGCTCCCATAGAGCTATTTTACTTTTATAGCTTAATTTTATGCTTGCACAGATAAAATTGCATGGAAACAAATGATTTTTATTCAAAGTGTTATCCAGAATAACAAAATCTCAAATTTATGTGAATTAAAACTTTTTATAATAATTTTACTAAATGGCATATTGAAAGCATTTGGTCAGTGACCATTGTTGAGTGCTGATGGAACCGTACATCACAGTTTTAGGTCTTCATGTAATAACAATCATTAACCAAAACACAATTGATATCCAAACAAAAACACCTGAGATGTAAAAAAATTGCACCATTTAAAAAATTATGACAATTTGAATAAATGCAATAGTTAAATTAATAAAATTCATATAAAAATTTTAAAATACTTTTTAAACTAAATATATATTCAATATTTTCATATATTGTGCTAAAAATTTACAGTGAAAGCCTACTTTATGACATTAACCCATTTGAAAGCTCCCTTATCATGAAACTATCACAACAAGATTGTATTGACATTTGCATGATAAATGTTTTTGGTAATTCATTCCAAAACTGAAATTCTTACAATATAATTGAATTAATTCCTACTCTAAAATTAATTGCAATGTTGGATGTAATAGTTTCTTATGGAATATTAAATCAATTTTAAAACATGATTTATAACAATAATAATAAATTATTGCCAATATATATTTAATGCTTTAAGTTGTTATTTATATCTAATTTAAAATGATAAATGCAGGTTACTTAAAATACTTGCATTTTCATTGCTAAATGGCTTATTTATCATAATGATCACCTTGTAATTTGATTAATGGAAATCATAAAATAATTTGATTCAATGCTGAACCAATTGTAAAGTGAGGGTTATATGTATGCATATGTATGTGTATAAAAAGATTATATTATTAGTTACCTCTCTTGCTGCCAAAATTATAGTTGTTAATTGTGAACGATCACCCCATTCACCAAGAAAAGTCATAGTAAAAGATTCAAGAAACACTGTTGATATACACATATTCAACTTTCTTTTCAGCCATACAATTTTTCTTTCTTTCATTATTCCTGTTTCAACATCATCTTGTAATTCTTTACTATACTAAATTAAAAAAAATTTCATTTGCAAAATTTAATTTTTTTTGTTAAAAATATAAGATTTACACAATAAACTTTACTATAAATATATGTTTAGGCTATGTTAAAAAATTGATAGGTACATTACAAAAAAATATTTCATACAATAAAAAAACATAATTACTGTTTTGAATTCAAAACAATTTGCATTTGAGAAACAAAAAACAATTTTGAATATTAATATTTAATTCAAATAAAATAATTATTTTTACAAGATTATACTGTACATTTTCAATATTGAGACAAATCAAAGTATATTCTACTACATAAAGTATATATTTTGTAAATCTGCCTCATGTTTCTCAGTTTAGAATTCTGGTTTACCATTTAAGTTGACTCCTCAACAGTCTTAACTTTCATCAAAACACTAACTATAATATAAATAAACAAACTAGTACTACAACCAAATTTTAAATTTTGGTTTTGTTTGGTACTAGTTTAAATAGCAAGACATTATGATAATATGCTACAGTATATACAAAATATATATATATATATACACACACACGCTGCTATTAACTGTATATTTCTTACAATTTTAACTAATAAATTATAATGAAAGTTTTTTCTTCTGTAACTTCGTGAGATTATTGAGCAAACTTCTAACAATTGATTAAATAAATTTTTAGTCAGTCAATCTTTTAAACAAACATATCGTAAATTGTTAAAAGTTTACTGTGGAACACAAAATGGAAATTCTTCTGAAATCAGAGAGATGTCATAGAAAAAAGGAAGATTATATATATATAGAAAGAACTATCCATGAACCATATCTAGTTTTTAATTCTGCAATTTTGTTTGTATTATATTGACCAAACCAAACATGATTATTATAGGAAAATATAAAGGAGAAATCGCATAGATGAAAAAAATCATCACTAAATACTGATGAGACAATTAAATAATGAAAATAATATATACAAAGGATGCAATGCATTAATTACCATAATTCATTAATGAAGAATAATTGCAAAGCAGAATATCTTGCTATAATAGCATGTTTTACATAATTTATTACTTGTTAAAAAGCCATAAAATACAATATCTCTCCTCAGTGAATGATAGTAGATAACATGATTTTATATTACAAAAACAACCATTTTATATTAAACTAATGGCATTATATTTATGTATAGTAAGTGCCACTTAGTACAATAATTTTGGGACTACCCTATTCAATTGATGACAATTTGTACAGCTATCCAAAAACTTTTTAATATAATTAAAAATTTCAAAATGACAAATATTTGCCTAATCATTAAAGAATAAATTTTTTAAAAAAGGAAATATTTATTATCTGAAATTTTATCTTAAAGGTTACAGTAATAATTCAAAATCTAACATTCTTCAATAAAATAAAATCAAGATCTAATTATGTAAAATTCATTTTGAATTCTGAAAATTAAGGATACTTCATCTTTTCAAATTTTTCAATATTTTTTATTATTTTACATACTATTTTATGCTTACTCATATAAATATATTTGCAACATTAACTAATTGATTCACTTAGTACTGTTATAGGAGTCAGGATAAGTGAATTATTTAGTTAGTTTTATTTTATTCATTTCATTTATTAAAAATCTACTTCAAATGAAAGTAGAAAGCTTTCATTCTTTTCAAATATAAAAGAATATAATGAAAATGATGGCCAATTTATGTAAATACAATTTTTAAAGAATGTTATATATTTATAGTAAAAAAACAATAAATTACAGCAGAGCCTCGATTATCCGACTCAATTGGGGACTGGGGTTGGTTGGATAATTGAAAAGTATGAAAAAATCCATTATTAGTGTAGTATATTATTATATCCCATGTAATTAGTATATCACTATTAACCTACTTTGTGTTGAATTTTCATCAATGTTAAGCCTAACAAAAATTTTTTAAAATAATAATCATCGCTATTGTATCGTTAAAAATTATAAAATTAAGCCTCGTTTAAATACTGGCTCCCTTTCATGATCGATCCAGTGTTGCCAGCTGAAATATGTAAAAATAATATTAAAGTAGCCAAGACATAGCCAAATATTGTAGCGCCACATCACTAATGGACATTTGAAATTTGCCGACTAGGACGGTTGGTTAACCGAGGGGTCGGTTGATCGGGAGGCGGATAATCGAGGTTCTACTGTAAATATATTCAGACAGTTATTAACAAGATTAATTTTAAATTATTTAAACATTAAGTTGTAAGTAAAATAATTTCATATTCTTATAATCTTCAGGAAATAAATATAAATCAATGCTAAATTTGAAATAAATTATTATTATTAAAAGCATTTTTTAGATCAAATTTTATGCACATTTATCCCAAAAGTTATTATGCAACTTGCTTAAATTAAAGCAACACAATTATAAATAATAATATGCAGCTGTTCCAAAACACTTTTAACTAGTCTTAAAAATATATTCAAGTTAAATGACTTTTGGGCACCCTATATATTTAAAAAAGTGAATGACAGTTATTTTCTAGAGAATCTTTATTATGTCTTATAATAGGTCATTTCTAATTCAAAAATGCTCTGTTCTCATTAAAAATTACAGACATACCTCTGTTAACATTACCTCTGGTATCAAAACCTCAAATCAAGGGGGCTGGAAATTATGAAATTCTTTAGTCCATAATTTCCAGCCCCATTTAACATAAAAATATCAAAATTTCAGGATCAATGCCCATAAGTCATCTGATTGCCAAACAACAGTAACTGATCACTTATTACAAGTTATAGGTTTGTCTGTTTTAACAGTTTCACGTGTCATCAGAATAATTTAGTTGCCTTCATAAGGCATGTTTCAGTGTGATGTACTGCAGTAAATGAAGTATGAATAAAAGAATAAATTGTACTAAAAGAAGAAAATAACATTCAATGGACTAGAAATGAAGATGGCTCAATCAATAAGTTTTATTAACATATTTGATCTACTGGACCATGAAGAGAGATCAGATCCTGGTGTTCTTCTATACTTCTGATGTGATACTTAATTTATTGCATTTCTTTTTTCTCTCTATTTTTACACTTGAAGTTATATATATTTATTTTCTGGACTTCATAATTAAAATGTTCTTTTATAACTTCTTGTCTGAGCTCCAGGGATATTGCTTCAGCTTCTCCCTCCTCCTTGATAGCCCTGTTGTTCTGTCAGATGTGGATCTTATACTAGATTGGCTTCAGAAAATTTGAGCAATCTTATCAGAAATAGGACAACATATTATAGCCTATACTACTGTACTTTTGTTCATAGAGTCACAAGAGACAACACAAAGTTAATGGGATTAAAAGACAGCAGCAATCAATAGAAAATATATATCTTTTATATTCTTAATTTGTTTTTTTCATGATTCTTACTTATATGACATAATAATTATAATGAGAATAATCCCATATTCATAAGTAAATACTTTATATAAATTAATCAGAGACAAAATTTTCACTTGTCGATGATCATTATGCAACATAGGTACTAATTCAAGTACTATTATATTATAAAATTTAACACTTTCAAAAAGTAAAAAGCATTAACTATTTCAATTAATAAATTATTTCTCGTATCATATTTATAATTATTGACATTTATTAATTATGTTAGAACACAATCATGATATTTGAGGTGGAGCATTAGCAAAGCCTCTTCTAAGTGGCTTACAACATTGTGTTTGTTCTCAAAACCTGTTCAATTGATTTTGATTAAACTTTGTCATTTTTCATTAATTGCAATGAGGAATCCAAAAATGTAGTAAAAAAAAAATCAAGGTCTATGACTTTTTAATGTAGAGGACGTGGTTGCTGTATCATCAAATGCAGTGTGTAGTGTCTTTGTAATCCAAAAAGAATTGGTAGACGAACGAACAGCAATTGGTTAGAAAACGTTACATTTTATTTAAAAATTCTATGCTGTACCATTATATGACAAGTAAGCATTTTTATGTTATCATCACCTCGTGTTTTAGTTATGTTCCTACTAACCAATGTCGTAAAACTAACCTTAATTTTTTTGTGTAATCTTAACAGCACTGAAGAGGGGTTGGGAATATAAGCCAACCCGAAATGCATCTGAATTAGGAATTTTTAAATAAAACGTAACATTTTCTAGCCAATTGCTGTTCGTTCGTCTACCAATTCTTTTTGGATTACAAAGACGCTACACACTGCACGTCTATGACTTTGTTTTCGAGTTATAAGGTCATTTCATGAACACATGCAACAAAGCAATATTGTATGAATCACATGACTTTGTAGTTCGATGTTTCATGGTCGCTAGGATGTCTTCTATGGGCTTACAGAATCAAGTTCGTTCTCAAAATTTAATGGACTGATTTTGATAATCAAAGCAATCGATGATGATTGCTTTGTTCTTGGATCACCTCTCTGTGTCGGCAAGTGCAAGGATAATCTCTGTATCTAGCCTGTGCAAGGATCATGTCTTCCATGGCTGGCAGGTACAGTATAAGGATAGCCTCTTTTGTAGCAGAAAGTGCAAAGTTCACCTGTCCACATTCACCAGGTAAAAAGATTACCTCTTCTGTGCATAATAAGTACAGGGATTTCTTCAGGGTATTGCAATAGTTTGTTAATTTGTTTGTATTGCAATAGTTTGTTAATTTGTTTGTTAATAGTTTGTTAATTTGTTGTATTGCAATAGTTTGAAGAACTTTGTTGTATTGCAATAGAACTGAGGCAGAGCCTCAGTTCTATTGCAATACAACAAAGTTGCTCAATGTCCTAGTAAGTAATATAGTATTATAATACTTGTTTGCAATTATTATAGGCTCAAATTAGATACAAACAAATTTGTTAAAAAGTACTGTACAGTACTTTTACTACAATAATCAGTTTAAAACAGATTTCTTAACTAAAGGAAATTTCTTAACTACAGAAATTTTAAGACAATAAAAATCAAAATAATTTAGTTATGGTTGATGGCTAAGACAGTTAAGGCATCAGCCTACCACTCTGAGTG